AGAAAGACCACTTTGGGCTTAGGAGGGGCTCTGGTTTCGGGCCTTTTAGGTGAGAATCGTCTTGACGTCTTTACGTTTAGCCAGTCATTTCTTCGTACTGTCTCACAGTCTTCCGCGCTAGTGTCATTTCTCATTCAAGCTTTTTCGCGGCCCTCATGAGAGCAGGAGGTGCTCAAATGGATCCCGCCGTGGCCTCTGATACGATGATGAACAGCATTGCGTTCTCTCCGCATGCGTAGTCGTCACTACATGTTCACTTACTCACTTACTTATTTTCTTACTTACTTACTCATTACGTAGGTTTAGGCCGGGGAGCCTATGCGAGGCCGAGGCTCGAAGTGGCTCGAAGAAAGCCCCCTCTCGGTCTTTCTTCGGCAGTCCTGACGACACCACGATGATTGCAACACGTGGCTCGTCCCAGACATGATCGCGTCGAAAAAGAAATCAGGACGGGAGGTGTTTGCTAGTTTTCGGCCTCGTGAGCGTCAAACATCGACTCAGGATGAAACGCCGGCCCCAGGGATAGGGTCGGGACTCCCGGGGACGCCGTATTGAGCAAACCAGGACGTCGCATGTCTGGGGTTGTTTCTCCGCCGCGTGGGTGCAGTGGGTAAGTCACCCAGGTTCATCCCGTCTTATCGTCCGTCCTTCGTGTCGTAATGAAGTCATTTCGGAGCCCTCTCGGGTTCTCTTGCGGCCCATCTTGGAAGACAGTGATCAAAGACGGGGCGGTCCTTCATATTCCCCGCCCCTCGTGAACCCGCAACGCTGCCTCGTGGGGCCATCTTAGGACGGTCTTGGGTCGCTCTTGGGGTCGCGTCTTGGAGCTTATGGGCCACTCTTGTGGCTCGCTGGGCCACCTTGGAGCCATCGTGAGACCCCAGAAGCCCATCGCGAGCGAAAAGACGAGAAGGCAAACCTGCTTGATTTTTCCTATTGAGCCTCTGGGGGGTATCCATGGATGGCTCGGCTGTCACTTGAGGCAATCTCAGGGCCATCTGCGGGCACTTTGGAAGGATTCTGCCGTCTTAGGCTATCCTGGGCCATCTTGGACGCTCTAGCGCGTTCCGCTCCCCCGTCCAGAGCCAGGTGAGGGGTCAGGGGGAGGGGCGAAGCCCTCCCCGTCGGTGAAGAAGTGGCATGGAAGAGGAAGCGCGCGACAGGCCGCATACGTCCAGAGGGCTGGCGGGATTCGATCCCCGATCCTCCAATCGCCTTCCCGCTGCTCGAGCCTCCTCGGTCTGGGCAGGGGCCTGGTGGACTACCTGAACCGCTTGCCCAGGGGTGCGTCTTGACCGCCAGTTCGAGGCGACCCCGGCCGCGGCGACGAGGAGCCCCCACGAGGCCCAAGAAGAGCCCGAGGCGCTCAGAGAGTCCTCGCGAGCCTCCTCGCCAGCCTCGGACCTCTCCCCCCGCCCCTCGGCGCCCTGTGGGGGGGGCGGGAGGGCCCGGCGGACTACCAGGTCGTGGGCGTCGTCGACGGCCACGGCGGCTCCGGGGCCTCCGACCTGATCGCGGCGGAGGTCGGAGGCCCCGAAAGCGGCGCGGTGACCACACTTCAGGCGGAACAAAAAACACAGACACTAAGGTATGGGAAAATATTGGAAGTGGGGTGGGGAGGACGAAAGCCCAGAAGATCTGGCAAAGAGAGGGGATCCTGGGAGTTGCGTCTATTTTTTTGTGAGTCCCTGGGCGCCGTCCACACCGTTGGAGCGAGCCGGTGGGTATTCCGGGGGGCGGCTGCGCGGTTTTGGGACACTCTTGGGGGTCGTTCTCCAAGGACGCCTCGGGTGGCAGGGGGGCCTCCAAGAGGCCCCCCAAGAATACCGTGCGGCGACGGAATGTGAGGTGGGGTATGTTGGGACTTCGAGGTCTTCAGGGGCGACGATAGGAGCGAAAAGCCCAGGGGGGAGCAATACATGTACCCAGGGTTGCCGATGATCTATGTTTTCAGCGAGGCTTCCGGGCGAATGCGTGTAATGCCCGCCACTGGGCTATTCGCCCTTATCGTCGCCATCGAGGTCACATCCCAGACATCCGATGTCCTGGTGTTTGGAGTGCGGGCTCCCAGAGGTCTCGACCCATTCCCCAGGGACCGGTTCTTCGTCCCGAGCCGTTCCTTGACGGCCAGGGCCCGTCGAGGGCCCCTGGAGGCACAGCACGGATCTTTTCGCGACCTGAGCAGGTCGGTGTTGCACGGCCGGTTACCGATGGCACAAGGGCTCCAAGGTTGCGCACAGCCCCCCCCCACCTGGTCCTAGTCGCGGCAGGCCTCAACAGGTCCCCCGAGTGGCCCGGGGAAGTCTCAACACCCTGGCGCCGCCTCCAGCGGCGACCCTGGGGCGCTCCACGCTCCAGGGCCCCAGGGTCGAGGTGCCGAGACCACCCAGGACTACTCGGGGGCCTGCTGAGGCCAGCTGGGACTATTCGGGGGGCCGATTAAGCCCAGCCAGGATACCTGGGGGGGGGGGGGAGGCCTGACGCCTCACCAGTCACCGAAGCGTTCTGGGACCCCCCCGGCAGGTGCTCGGGATCCTCGGCGAGCACCTGGAAGCCTCCCTTGGGGACGCCGTGGCCGCGCTCGGCGCCGCGTTCGCCGACCTGGAGGACCCGATCGGGCCGCCCGGACGGCTGGGGCCCCATTTCACCTTTTATGGGTCTAGGCCTCCTAGAGGGAGTCCGAGTGGACGGCGTCGGAGGATGGCGCTGCATCGCCTATGCATCGCCGATGCGGCTCGATGTGGAGCTCGATTTTCCTTGCTCTGGCGTCGCCAAAGCTCTGGCGACGTCACCGATGCATCGCCGATGCAGAGCGATCCTCGACCCCATCTACCTGGACCCCGTCTAGGAGGCCTCTAATGGGGCCTCCTGGTCGCTGTCGGTCGCGACCGATTTGGAGTGCCGATCGATCGCTGACTATTGCGACCGTAAAAATATATGATTCAATGATCTGGGTCTGAGGGGGGCCTTCGTTGCCACGGCTGGATCCGCCCCCAGACGCGCCCGCGTCGTTTCGGCTCCGCGACGGTGCAGCCGGATACACCGTACAATTCGAATTGATCCGACGTCCGACTCGATGCTGACTGATGATGCCTTTGGAAGTCACCCTGGGCGGCAGAAGGCCGGCGAAAGCGAACCCGGGGGCGGGGGCGCCAGCGGAAGGTCAGCGGAAGCAGCAATTTTAATCCAGGGTGTTTGGAGACGCCCTAAAGGGGCTGGAGCGGACGGGGTCGGGGGATCGTGCCGCACCGCCCGTGCATCGGCGAGGCTGTGCGATCCCCGACCCAAAATCAACTCAAGACCGGCCCAGACGGTGGCAGCACTTGGATGCAGTGCTCTCGGTATCGATCCGACACCTCGTCCCTTCCGTGGGCTGCGGAGCCGAGCTGACGACTGCAGAATACGCTCGCGCAAGGACACGGGAGCACTGCTGCGGCACACGTGCAAGAAGTCATGTTGACAGAGTGGGCGGCCCCCAAGGAGCGCTGTCTGGAGCTGGAGCCCCCGTCGGGCGCGTGCGTGTGCCTCTGCGTCGTCAGTGGGGACCGGGTCGTCGTGGCCAACGTGGGCGACTGCAGGTCGCCAATTGAGGAAATTTGGTTCTCAGGGACACTAGTCCTTCAGGAAGTTGACGGGACACATTTTGGTCGCAGCCGCGAGAGTCCTCGCCGCGTTCGGGGAAAGCCGTGGGATGCAATGGGGCCGCAGTGGGCACCGCAGGGGAATGGGGGAGAAGAAGGGCGCGGAAAAGGGGGAGCACGCTCAGGGAGTGAACTTCTTGAACGTGTGTGCAGGAGCACGTGCACAGCAAAAATACGAAGGTCCTTAAAGGAGAAAAATCTTGACGCTTCGCGTATCCCCACCAGTTTTCTAGTCGCGGCCGCAGCCCGACCGTGACCGCCTGCCGCTGGCGCTTCCGCCTGCGGCTGCCAAAAAAAAAGTATCCCCACCAGCCCATCCAGTAACGATGCCCAGGCGAATGGAGGTGATCAGGGAAGTGAGGGAGCATACAGAGTAACAAAGGGCTGGGGAACCCGTCTTACCCAAGACGGCGAGGATGGAGGAGGAATCGGAGGAGGATGAGGAGGAGGAGGAACTGAAGGAGGAGGAGGGGGAGCGGGAGGAGGGAGGAGGGAGGAGGAGCAATAGGCGGATGAGGAGGAGGAGGAGGAGGAGGGAGCAGGACGAGAATGAGGAGGAGGATGAGGAGAAGGGCGAGCAGAATGGCCAGAGGCCTCTTGGATGCCTCTCGGAGTCTCTTCGGATGTCTCTTGGGAGCGTCCTGAAGGCCTCTTAGCGTCTTGGGAGCGTCTTGGCGGTCCCGGAGGCCTCTTGGGGCGTCTTGGGTGCCTCGGGGGGCCTCTTGGGGACCTCTTGGGGCCATCTTGGGGCCATCTTGGGGCCATCTTGGCGCCTCTTGGGGCCTCCTGGGCGCCTCTTGGGGCCATCTTGGGGCGCTCTTGGGAGCCTTGCGAGCGCTCTTGGGGCCATCTTGGAGGTGATCGATCAAAGGAAGGGGGTCCCCCAATTAGCCTTCCCCCTCGGGAGCCTCCCAAATCGGCCAAAACCCTAATAAAACCAATGATTTTGGCTTCCTCACCGAGGCCGTTTTGGACGCTCTAACTACCAGCGGCCCCCCCCGTCCAAGTCCAGGGGAGGGGGTTAGGGGGAGGGGTGAACCCCTCCCCGAAGGGGATGAAGGAGGGGTGAAAGAGGAAATTCCCTAAACCACCTACGCCCAGAGGGCTGGTGGGATTTAAACTGTCGTCGCTTTTGGGCTCCCGAGGCTCGAATCTGGAGGAAGTCTCGAGCGGGTCCCCGTCTCTGAGTGAACTGTGAGGAAGTCATGAGCCGGAGCTGCCTCCCAATGGGTCTGCGAGATCTTGAGAGTAATCCGAGCGGTCATCAAAAACTTGGAGCTGTCGTCACTCTTGGGTTCCTGAGGCATGAATCTGGAGGTCCTCTCGAGCGGGAGCCTCGTCTGTGAGAGGATTGTGAGGAAATATCAGGCGGGAGCCCCTGCCCTATGGGTCTGCGAGATCTTGTGAGTAATTCGAGCGAGTCTTCCTAAACGTGTAACTGTCGTCACTTTTGGGCCCAGGAGGCTTGGATGTGGAGGAAGTCTTAGGCGGGGGCCTCGTCTCCAAGTGAATGTTGATGAAGTCTTGAGTGGGAGCCAATTCCCATATGGTGCCGCCAGATCATGTTAGTAATCCGAATGGGTCGTCCAGAACTTGTAGTCGTCGTCTCTGTTGGGTTCCTGAGGCATGGACCTGGAGGAAGTCTCGAGCGGGCCTTCTGAACTTGGCGAGGCGAACCTTCTCACACTAGAGACCTCGTCCCAATTCTGTAAGGAGCGCGAGGACACGTGTTCGTCCCGCGCATCACGGCTCCCGTGGACTGATTCCGCACATCCCAAGTGGGATGCGGCCCACAGGGTTTTCCCTATGCTCTCCTCCTCCGTCCCTCCTTCCTGCCCGTTGCGCTGGAGAGAGAACTTGAAAACGGTTCAACGTCTAGCTGCGGGAGAGGGACCTGGAAAAGGTTCACTCTCCCTTTAGTGTTTGGGCTGGAGCAGGAACTTGAAAAGGTTCACTCTCTAACTGCGGGAAAGGGAACTTGGAAAGGTTCAGCGTCCCGCTTGCCATTGGGCTGGAGGGTGAATTTGAAAAGGCTCACTCTCTAGTTGCGGGCAACGGAACTTGAACAGGCTTACTTTCTCGCTAGTCATTGGGCTGGAAGGGGAGCTTGAACAAACTTCATTCTCCCGCATGTCATTGTATTGGAGAGCAAGCTTGTGCCAGGTCCACTCTCTAGCTGCGGGAATGGGAACTTGAAAAGTGTCACGTTCCCGCTTGCCAGTGGGTTGGAGGAAGAACTCGTTCTCTAGCCGCACAAAATGTAATGTTTCCGTGTGGCATCGGGTTGGAGAGGAAATCTGAAAAGGTTTAATATCTAGCCGCAGGAAAGGGAGCTTGAACAGGTTCACTTTCCCGCCAGGCGTTCTGGAAAATGCAATTCTTGACGCTTCGCGTATCCCCACCAGCCCATCCAGTAACGATGCCCAGGCGAATGGAGGTGATCAGGGAAGTGAGGGAGCATACAGAGTAACAAAGGGCTGGGGAACCCGTCTTACCCAAGACGGCGAGGATGGAGGAGGAATCGGAGGAGGATGAGGAGGAGGAGGAACTGAAGGAGGAGGAGGGGGAGCGGGAGGAGGGAGGAGGGAGGAGGAGCAATAGGCGGATGAGGAGGAGGAGGAGGAGCAGGACGAGAATGAGGAGGAGGATGAGAAGGGCGAGCAGAATGGCCAGAGGCCTCTTAGATGCCTCTCGGAGTCTCTTCGGATGTCTCTTGGGAGCGTCCTGAAGGCCTCTTAGGGCGTCTTGGGAGCGTCTTGGCGGTCCCGGAGGCCTCTTGGGGCGTCTTGGGTGCCTCGGGGGGCCTCTTGGGGACCTCTTGGGGCCATCTTGGGGCCATCTTGGGGCCATCTTGGCGCCTCTTGGGGCCTCCTGGGCGCCTCTTGGGGCCATCTTGGGGCGCTCTTGGGAGCCTTGGGAGCGCTCTTGGGGCCATCTTGGAGGTGATCGATCAAAGGAGGGGGGTCCCCCAATTAGCCTTCCCCCTCGGGAGCCTCCCAAATCGGCCAAAACCCTAGTAAAACCAATGATTTTGGCTTCCTCGCCGAGGCCGTTTTGGACGCTCTAACTACCAGCGGCCCCCCCCGTCCAAGTCCAGGGGAGGGGGTTAGGGGGAGGGGTGAACCCCTCCCCGAAGGGGATGAAGGAGGGGTGGAAGAGGAAATTCCCTAAACCACCTACGCCCAGAGGGCTGGTGGGACTCGAACCGAGGAACCAGAATCTTGGGTGTTGCAGCTCACGGGGCGCAGTCGTATAAGCAGGAGCACCGCGTGTTGCCTCTTTGTGTGATCTAGGCACGACCGCCCCAATTTGCTTACGCACCTACTACTTTGCCGATACCTTGAGTACTCTATGCCTGGGAGGTGAAAAAGGATTGGTCTCATAATCACGTGATCCCGTCCGTTGCCACCTAGTACACGACAAACTTTCACGACCTGAGCCTACCATGGGTTTTCCATCTAACGGTTCCTCGATGTTTTGTCGCTTCGATGTTCTGAGTTTTTCTGGAGATTCCTTGGGTTATCCTCGGTTGCCACGGCAGGATCCGCCCCAGAATTCTTGCCAGAACGCGTCCCAAGACAGATCTAGTGGGCGAGTTGGCGGGAAATCTCGCCATGAAGACAAGCTGGTCCCGAGGGAATCAGGAATCGCAAGCGGGTTTCTCCCCGAACCGCTGGGTTCCTCTCAACAGAACAAGCTGTGTATAAAAAATGGAAAGTCGGGAATCACCCCTGGGGCCCAGGGGGCTATTTAGACGCACCCCTATCGACGATGGACGCCCCCTGTCATATTTGATTATTTGTTTATATATATATATATATATATGTATATATGTATATATGTATCCCTGGCTGGGCTCCTGTTTTTGTCCAGCCAAAAAATCCAACGGAGTTTTGGGTTGTCAGGACAGAGTGTCCTGAAGTGTTTCATCACATGCGGCCTCTCGCCGTGAATGACCTAACGCCAGGGTTGATTCGGTTGATCAGATCGATCCGATTCGATATCGATTCTGGCCAGCTCGGTCCGACTCCATTCCGGCATGCCGACGATCCGATTCGGCCCGATGCTCGGGTGGCGTTGCTGTGCATCCTGGCGCGGCCGATTCGATTCGATTTCGACTCCGTGCCGATGCGGCGCGATCCGACGCACGTTCCTATCCGATCTGACTCCCCGATTCGAGGCCAACCGATCCTGCCCAGAGGGCCCATGGACCCGCCCCCCCCCTCCCCAGAAGCCCCCCCCCCGTGCCTCGAGCAGGGCCGTGGCGCTGTCCTTCGACGGCGAAGGGTGCGCCCTGAGCGTCGACCAGCGCTGCGGGGAGGGGCCCGAGTACGCGAGGATCGTCGAGGCCCGTCATGGGCGCCGCGCTCTCTTTTACCGTCCAGCGGCGCCCTGTGGCAGAGAGGGAGGGAGAAGGGGTGGGGGCGGGAGGGCGGGAGCGGGGGAGTTGGGCGCGCGGCTCGCAGCCCGCCGGCGCGCACATGATTACAGTCGAGCATTTGGTTGAGAGACCTCCTCTTGACCAGCACCTGATTCAGGATTACAGCGCACATGGTTACAGTCTGGGCCAGCGGTTCTGAACCAACTTGCCGGAAAGCTGGGTCATTACCTAACAGCTTTTGCTGATAGGTTTCTAGTAGGGTCAAAAGAGAGCATCATGACTCCTCAGGGGGTCTGGGCGGGTGCCGGGGAGGAGGACCGGGAACACAACCGGGAACAGAGCCGGGCTCGTTTTAAGCCAACAGTCATACATTTCGTGCTCTTCGACCTCCCAGAACTCCATTCCCGGGCCACATTTTGAATAACCGGAGCCAGCTGTAGGCCACTTCGTGCTCTTCGACTTCCCAGAACTCCATTCCCGGGCCACATTTTGGATGCCCGGAGCCAACTGTAGGCCACTTCGTGCTCTTCGATTTCCCAGAACTCCATTCCCGGGCCACATTTTGGATGCCCGGAGCCAACTGTAGGCCACTTCGTGCTCTTCGACTTCCCAGAACTCCATTCCCGGGCCACATTTTGAATGCCCGGAGCCAACTGTAGGCCACTTCGTGGTCTTCGAGTTCCCAGAACTCCATTCCTGGGCATGATTTTGAATGCCCGGAGCCAACTGTAGGCCACTTCGTGTTCTTCGAGTTCCCAGAATTCCATTCCCGGGCCACATTTTGAATGCTGAGACAGGCTGAGGCTGAGGCTGAAGCAGGCTGAGGCTGAGGCAGGCTGAGGCTGAGGCGAGGCTGAAGGACTGAGGCTGAGGCTGCAGGCTGAGGCTGAGGCAGGCTGAGGCTGAGGCAGGCTGAGGCTGAGGCTGAGGCTGAGGCAGGCTGAGCTGAGGCCTGAGGCCAAGGCTGAAGGCAGGACTGAGGCTGAAGCAGAGCTGAGGGCTGAGGCTGAGGCTGAGGCAGGCTGATGCTGAGGCTGAGGCTGATGCAGGCTGAGGCTGAGGCAGGCTGAGGCTGAGGCCGAGGCTGAAGGCAGACTGAGGCTGAGGCTGAAGCAGGCTGAGGCTGAGGCTGAGGCAGGCTGAGGCTGAGGCTGAGGCAGGCTGATGCTGAGGCAGGCTGAGGCTGAGGCTGAGGCTGATGCAGGCTGAGGCTGAGGCAGGCTGAGGCTGAGGCCGAGGCTGAAGGCAGACTGAGGCTGAGGCTGCTGAAGCAGGCTGAGGCTGAGGCTGAGGCAGGCTGATGCTGAGGCAGGCTGAGGCTGAGGCTGAGGCTGAGCTGGGGCTAGGATGCAGGCTGAGGCTGAGGCTGAGGCAGGCGGAGGCTGAGGCTGAGGCTGAGGCTGAAGCAGGCTGAGGCTGAGGCTGAGGCAGGCTGAGGCTGAGGCAGGCTGAGGCTGAGGCTGAGGCAGGCTGAGGCTGAGGCTGTGACTGCGACTGCCGTTGCCACTGCGACTGTCATCGCGAATGCGACTACGACTGCGAGAACAGCAGAATTCTACAACTGGATTCTCATCCGAATCTTAAGGGGAATGCTTCCAGATATGCTTCTACACATCGCTGTTAGGTTGCTTTGCCGGGATATTTTTTTGGAGCACGCGCGCCCTCCAGAGTCAACGACAGCCATCGGCCCAGGTTTGCTTCAAGAAATTTCCGGAAAATTAGCCAATAATTCTTACATGATAACTGTTCCAAATCACCCTGTGGTGTTCGGTCTTCGTTTTGAAGAGACAGCGCCACGCGTTCTTCCTTCCTCCTTCCTCGATCTTCCATCCACCTCATCCTCCTCCTCATCCTCCTCCTCATCCTCCTCTTCTCCTTCCCCTCCTCCCTCCCCCCATCCCTGCCCCTGCCGTCTGCATATCGGCACACCCCTCGCGCGTTAAGCCCCCAGGGCCCAGGGGCACAGTCCGCACGGCGTACCCGCACCCGATTCGGCACACTCCTCACACGCTTCATTGCCCCATAGAGAGCTCCACGGAAGACCCCAGCAGCAGGGCCCGCACGGCGTACCCGCTTTCGATTCGGCACGCCCCTCACACGTTTCATGATCCCAGAGGGAGATCCACCGAAGGCCCCAGTGGCACAGTCCGCACGGCGTACCCGCATCCGACTCGGCACACCCCTCACACGTTTCTTAGCCCCATGGGTAGCTCCACCGAAGGCTCCAGTGTCACAGTCCGCATGGTGCACCCGCACCCGAACTGTCGCACCTCTCACACGTGTCGTGTTCCAATGGGGAGCTCCACCGAAGGCCCCAGAGGCACAGTCCGCACGGCCGCACGGCGTACCAGCATCAGATTGATCATGTCCCACACACGTTTTGCGGCCCCATAGGGAGCTCCACCGATTGGCACAGTCCGCATGGCGCACCCGCATCCGATTTGGCACACCCCTCACACGTTTCGTGCCCCCATGGGGAGCTCCACCGAAGGCCCAAGTTGCACAGTCCACATGGCGTATCTGCATCCGATTTGGCACAACCCGAAGACGCTTCGTGGCTCCATAGATAGGGAACTCCACCGAAGACCCCAGTAGCACAGTCCGTATGGCATACCCGCATCGGATTCGGCACACCCCTCATACGCTTCGCTGTCCCATTGGGGGGGGAGCACACCAAAGGCCCCAACGGCACAGGCTGCATGGCGTACTCGCATCCGAAATCCGAATTGGCACACCCCTTAGACGTTTCGTGGCCCGAACGGGAGTTCCACCGAAGGCCCCAGTGGCACAGTCCGCATGACACACCCACATCCGATTTGGCACACCCCGCACACGTTTCGTGTCCCCATGGGGAGCTCCACCGAAGGCCCCAGTGGAACAGTCCGCATGGCGTACCCGCATCCGATTTGGCACAACCCTAACACGCTTCGTGGCCCCATAGGGAGCTAGGCCCCAGTGGTACAGGCCGCATGGCGTACCCGCTTTCGATTCGGCACGCCCCTAAGACACTTCGTGGCCCCATAGGGAGCTCCACCGAAGGCCCCAGTGGCACAGTCCGCATGGCGCACCCGCATCCGATTTGGCACACCCTTCACATGTGTCTTAGCCCCATAGAGAGCTCCACCGAAGGCCCTAGTCGCACAGTCCGCATGGGGTACCCCCGTATGATTTGGCCATTGGGAGCTCCACCGAAGGCCCAAGTTACACAGTCCACATGGCGTACCTGCATCCGATTTGGCATAACTCTAGCACGCTTCGTGGCCCCATGGGGAGCTCCACCGAAGGCCCTAGTGTCACAGTCCGCATGGTGCACCCGCACCCGTCACCCGTCTCGCGGCCCCATGGGGAGCTCCACCGAAGGCCCCAGTAGCACAGTCCGCATGGCGCACCCACATCCGATCACGACTCTCACAATTGCGGTACTTACAATTGCCTTTTGAGAAGTTTTCTGTATCTTCGGGGAAGGCTCAGAACATTTCTCAGATGGCGGAGAAAACTTCTCATAAAGGCCGGGGGACTTCCGAGCCGTCTGAGAAGGCCCGCCCTTCTCACTTCCCCCCCAGGCCGACCCTGCTCACTTGCTCCCGGGGCTCGCCGCCGATCTTTCCTCGGGCAGGTTTCTCCCGCGTTGTTTTTGACGGTCCCTGGGCCCGGCGAGGGCCCTTGGAGGCCCAAGATGGGAACGAGGTGTTGCGTCTCCATCTATTCAAGACGTTGGCTGTCTGTTGCTGCGCGCTGCCACGCCCTGAGATCCGACGTTGCAGAACACGTGCGACATCGCGAAGCATCACGCACGGATCCTTGGACCCAACCTGCTTGCGGCATGCTCCGAGCCGGATAGATCTGCGACGGTCCTGGGGCCCGACACGGCGCGAAAGCGCTCGCTGTGCAAGAAATGCAGAGCCGGGGTCTCAGCCCAGACATGCGAGGCCCGTTTCTTTCAGTACGGCGTCCCTGGAAGTCCGGACCCTTTCCCTGGGGCTGTTTTTTCATCCTGAGTCGTTATTTGACGCTCCCGAGGCCCGGCGAGGGTCCCCCGAGGCCAAACAAATAGCAAACACCTCCCGTCCCGATTTTTTAACGACGCGATCATGTCTGGGAGGGCAGGCGGGCGGCGCCGTCGTCGGCAACGCCGTGGAGGGGCTGATGCCCGCGCGCACGGTGGGCGACGCGGACGTCAAGCGCCTCTGCCCGCCGAGGGTGATGATGGGCTTGTTTTCCACCACCGCCACCAGAAGTTGGAGGGGGGAGGAGGTGGAGGATGAGGAGGAGGAGGACCCCCTCCCCCTCCTGCCGGTGGTGGCGGTGGAAAACAGGCCCACCAGGTGATCCTGGCCGAGCCCGAGGTCCGCGCCTGGGAGGGCCGCGGCGTCGTCGTGCTGGCCACGGACGGGGTGCCCCCCCCTCGCGGGCGCGCCACGGCACGGGGGCCGCTCCCTGAGACACTACTTGAGCCCGCGGGCGCCGAGTTGCCGATTCCGGAAACCCTGAACCCAAAAACTGTTGTCATCTCTTGGAGGTTTTTTTTAGTTTTGCTTCCGCCGCCCTCCGCCAGCCTTACTCCGCCTTCCGCTGGCGGAGACGGCCTCGATTTATTTCCGCCGACCTTCCGCCGCCCTTCCGCCGCCTTCCGCCGAGGAAGAGATGACAACTCCTTGGATCCTCGAAGGCAAGGCCATTTTTGGAACGCCCCAAGTGGTCCAAGACAGTCAGACGCCGGTCAGCAATCGGTGGGGTGCAAGGGGAGAGAAGTGAGGCACGAGAGCGAAAAGGGAACGAGCGCGACGAGGGAGGGGCCCGCTCAGACCATGAAAGCCGGCGGGGGGATGCCGTGATCTTGCATGGGAGGTGCGCGCGAACAGAGGAGGCCGATTCCTTGAGATATTGGCGCCCCTAGGCCTCCAGCGTCTTGAAAAATGCAATTCGGAGATTTTTCTGGGTCCGCCCCGCCGACGTGTTCGCGTCGTGCCAACAGGATCACGACTGAAGGTTCTTGGGTCCATTCCGCCTCCGGGGGCCTTCGCCTGGCCCCAGGACCGTCCAGCAGCGACTCAGTATGAACAGCCGGTCCCAGGGAAGAGCTCGGGACTTTCGGGGGTCTGGGGTTCCAGTGGTGATGTGTCACACTTCTTTTTGGTTCTGTCTGATCTCAGGGCTCGTGTGCAGAAGCCATACTTGGGCGCTGTGTCCCTCAATAGTTCTGGGGGCACCCGTAGTCTGGAGAGGGTACCTGTAGTCCTGTGGAGGGGTACCTGTAGTCCGGGCGGGGCACCAGTAGTCCGGGGTGGGGTACCTGTGGTCCGGGGGAGGTGTACTTGTAGTCCGGTGGGGGGGGTACCTGCAGTCTTGGAGGAACGCGTGTTCACGCGTCAACGCACGCGGTGGAGGTAGTCCTGGGGGGGGTACCTGTAGTCTGGATGGGGGGGGGGAGTACCTGTAGTCGAAAGTTCGATCGATGGAGATCACACAGGAGATGCCGTGGTCGGCGTTCCAGGGGAGTGCGGCGGCATTTGTGCCAGATCCAGGGCCCCAGTAGGGACTCCAAACTCTCGCGTTGCCCGCCGTCCCCCCTTGCGAACAGCGCGGACGTCGAGAGTTTGGGCCGGCGCGCATATCCATATTCGCGGCCGCGCGGGCCTGGCTCCAGGGCCGCTGCCCCATGCATGCTGAGAATTTGTTCGCGGGCACCCCGCGCGAAACGTACCCATGCAATCGCACATCCACGGGATCGCGCCCCAGAATCCAGATCGCACAGGCGAAGCTATGGACGCGTTCGCCGCTCGTGGGCCATCTCAGCCAGGGCGCGGCGACCAGCACCCTTGAGATCCGTCGCAGCGAAGAAATTACAACATTGTGCAAGATCACGACCAGATCCCCAGACCCCATCTGTCTGCGCCATTTCTGGAGCCCGATCGATCTGTGAGGGTCCCGGGGCCCGAGAAAAGGCGACAACGCCCTGCCTGAGAAAATTGAAACGCGATCTCAGGGACCCCCTCGCGTCGTGAAACAAAAACCACGACGGCAGGCGTTTTTCAACTTTCGGCAGCCTGGGGGGGGGCCCTTGCCGGGCCCGAGGGCGCCTCCGCGGGCGCGGGCCCACCACTCGGAGCAGTGCCCGTCGAGTCGACGGCGGCGCTTCCTGGCGTTCTCTCGCGATCCGGGGGCCCCCTGGGGGCTGGGACCACCACGAGGGTCCGAAGTTAGGTGCGCTTCGCGGTCTGGGCGATTTCAAAGCGAGGCGCGAGACCCTCATCCTGTTCTGGGGGGGGCGGCGCGAAAGCGCGAAGATAATGCGCGTCGCGCTTCGGAGAGCGCGAAGCGCGAAGATAATAGTTGCCCTAGAGGAGGCCTCTCCGTCGACACGGCACGATCCGCCTCGGAGAACGGATCAGGATAGACCCCAGGAGGGGCCCAGGTTGTGATTTTGAACGGGTTTTTCGGGAGCCTTGAGACGGGAGCCAATGCAATCGGGGATCAGACATTGCTGGATCTTGCAGCATCGAGCCAGGGGTGCACTACTGCTAGCGCGCAGGCTCCTGCAGGAATTTCAAGGATCATGCAAAGCCCGACTGACCTGGGTTTGCGTTGACCCGGGTCAGTGCGTCCCCGACTGGTCAGGATGGACCGTGGTGGGGGCTGGGAGATTTATTTTGAAGGGGGTTTGGGCCCTTCGGGAGAGCCGCAGTCGTCTCAACTGGCCCCCCTCCGGATCAAGATACACGGCCACCACCTCAGTCAGGACGCTGAAACGCAAACTTTTTCGCGTCGTGAGAAAAGGATGACGACGGCGGGCGTTCCCCAATTGTCGGCCTCAGGAAAACCCTTGCCAGGCCCCAGGACCGTCAAACACAATCTGGATGATGAAAGTGGGCCCGGGTGAATTGGTCTGGGCCTCCTGGGGTCCACGGTGCGAAAACAAAACAAAAAAAACACGTCTCGGAGCTCCAGGGAATCAGGACCACATTTGGGCCCAGGTGGATCCAGGTCGTGGCTACTCTTGACCGAGGCTCGACGTGGCCAGATGGGGTCGGAGAAGATGTGGTCGGAGGATCGCGCCACATCTCCGATGCATCGCCGATGCGGCTCGATGCGGATCCCCATTTGCTTCACGCCGACGGCGCCGATGCACCGCCGACGTCGATGATGCATCGGTGGTGCATCCCCGGTTCATCGCCGAGGCCTCGCCGATGTACCGGCGATGCGACGCGATCCCCCGACCCCGTCTACTCCGACCCCGTCCAGGAGGCCTCGACTTCCGCTCCTCGGAGAGGGGCGAAGTGAGACAACGGCGGCCTTCCCGCCCGGCCCAGATCCGCTCCAAACGGGTCCACGGACCCCTCCTGTGGGGTACATCCTGACTCTGTTCCGACGCGGGCCCCGCCGTGGCGACGAGAAGTTTCCCAGAGTCCAGGAGGCCCAGACATTACACACTGGTCGTTGAAAGTACGTGTTTGGGGATTCCCAGATCCCAGTCTGCTTCAAGCGCCTTCCTACTTCAAGAGGCTGTACATGTATACATATATACATATACATATATGTATATGTATGTGTACACATATGTGTGCTTCTGCTGTGTGTTGTTATCATCTGGGAGGGCCTGAGCCCAATGTACTTGATCCGCCTTACCTACCTGCTTCTTCCGACCGGCGCGTATGAAAAAACATGAGGGGTCGCCGCCGTTGCCTCGACTCGCCCTCCTCCGAGTTCCTTGCCCAGCGTTCCTGTAGACTTGGGCGGCGCCCGCAGAGAACTCTGTGAGGTGCTCGAGCCTCGCCTCTTCGATCCTCGTCGCAGGTGTGGGACGTGGTCGGCAGCGAGGAGGCCCTCGAGCTGATCCCCTACAAGGGCAGGGCGCTGCGGCGCGAGTGCCGCGACCCGGGGGCGTCGTGCGCTCGGTCTCGGGCGCGGATCGGGGCCGGGCCGCCCTGGCCTGCGGGCAGCCATCTCTTCCCCAAAGACATCTTCGCGTCGTGAGACGATCACGGTGGTGGAGAGTCTGGGGCAAAGTCTGGCCCCTGGGGCTGAGGGTCAGAAGCCCGTCCCCGCGACAAGATCCGCGTCTCTGGGAAGCCGCGTGGTGCAAAAGTCACGGTGTCGGGCGCCTGGATCCTCCGCCCCCATTGCCCTCCCCAGCCGCTTCCCCCTGGAGCCCCTGCCCAGGCTCACCCTCCCGCACGCGATCCCCAGTAGCCTCAGGCGGGTCTTGGTGGCATGTCGTCTCTACCGAAAGCTAGCGCACGCCAGCTCTATCACGACGGTTGTCCCCAACAGGGAAGTGCTTGCTATTGCCCGAGCAGCAAGGCAAGCGGTCGATCTGCCGATGGGCGGTCGGCTGTGATGACGAGACGAACCTTCGCTCCCGACGGTCTGCCTCCCCCTCCCCAGCCACCCTCCTCCAGCAGCCCCCGTTCCACCTTTCAGAGACAGGGACCACCGCCACCGAGAACCCATCGGCGGGATGCGGTGGCGTCGCCGCGTGAAGGACGACGCTCGGATTTGCCACCCCATCCCCCCGACGGGTTCTCGGTGGCCGTGGCCCCTCTTTCTCTCCTGAAGGGGAACAGTTTGTGGGGATCGGCTCTGGACCCCCGTGCCCGTGGAGCCACCTCCAGCGCCGCCCCTGGCGCGCTCCGCGCGCCTGGGAGCGGGGACCCGTGCCGATCCACGAAATCCGCGCGTACCTCCGAACGTGCTTGCTTGTTCACATGTTTCTTCTTCGTCTATCCTGAGATTGGCGCCCCGCTCCTCAAAGCCGAGGCGGGTGCTGACCAGGATGTCGAGGCATGTCGGGCCGTGGTGGCCAGGGAGGGGCTGCTCTGGGAGGCGCCCTAAGACTCCGAAAGCATCATCCAGGGATATCGGTATTCGGTTTTCTCTTCCTCCTCCTCCTCCTCCTCCTCCTCCTCCTCCTCCTCCCCCTCTAAGCTCGTCTCCTCCTCCTCCTCCTTCTCTATGTCCATCCTTCTCCTCCTCGCTGTTCCTCTTTGTTTCGTTTCCTTCGAGGTGGTGTCGCAGCTCTGCACGCCGTGGCGCGTGCTCACTGCCTCCGGATGCCCGCGGCGCTCGCGTCCCGTCGGCTCCGGAATCGCAGTACGGATTGGTGCACTACGCCTGCTCTGCCACTGCCCGCCCTCCACACCTGCACTGACCTCAACGTGGGAGCTGATGGCGCTGGGCTCCATCGTCTCCCCACCTTCGCCGCATGAGCCAGTCGCCCTCCTCCGCCCTCCTCCCTCCCTCCATCCCTCCTCGTCCTCCTCGTCCTCCTCCCCCTCCTCCTTCCTCCTCCTCCTCCTCCTCCTCCTCCTCCTCCTCCTCCCCTCCTAATCTCCCTCCCTGGGCTCGCTTCCAGTCAGTATTTTGTGTTCCCAGATGGAGGCGTTCCTCCTGTCGCCTTTCCCCTCCTCCTCTTCCTCCTCCCTCCCGTAGCCATATTGGCACAAGGTTTTCAGGTTCTCAGCCAACCACGTGGATACCGCTACCACCCCCTGGATTAAAAAGTCCGGATCGGCACTGCAGGCCCCCTTGCATCGTCGCTCCCCGAGAAGTAAACATGACTGGCACGAAATACCTAGCAGAGTCGCAACTTCCAAGCAACATAACTGGGACCGGAAATTCAGATGCGAGGAAGTCCCAAGCGAAATCGCAAATTTCCGGTCGCCAGTGAGAATTTCCGGTCGCCTGGAAAGCGTCCGGAAATATTTTTGGAGGAAGTATTGGTGGATTGCGGACTTCCGGTCGTCACCCTATTTGGCGATTATAATATTAGAGGGGGCGAAGACGGAAATTTAACCATGGCGGCCCCTGCAACATTGTGCCGGGGCCCCGTGGCCTAAAGGGAGCCGAACCTCAAGGCTTATTCCCCGACCTCTGCGGTCCGGACTTTTTATTTCAGGGGGTTGTAGTCCGCGGCCAGCTTTCATCCTTCCCCTGGTCAGCCCCAGGGCGAGCGTCGGGTGGTCCGCCCCAGTCAGACGCATCCTACCAGTGCCCGTGGAGAAGACTCCCTGTCCTGTCCATGGGTCAACAGCAGTATGGAAACACGAAGTGCACGCCGTTTGGCTTCAAGTGGAGCTCAAGTGGACGCGACGTGTGCTACATGTGCTCGGCCTCACTCGAAGTCCCCAAGTCCCCATGGCGTGAGGCTAGCGGCGCTTGGGTTCCATGGCGCGACAGCGGGCAGGGCAAGTTTCGCACGCATCGAGAGAAAGCTGAACTCACTGAGCATGCGGCTGCAACCCCCACCTTGGGGATCTGCTCCAGGCCCTGGAGAGCCATGACGATCCCGCGAACCAGGTTGCAGTCGAGGACTTCAAGAAGAAGGCCCAGCCACAGCCCAAGGAGCAGCCAGAGTCACCGCACTCCAAGTACCAGAGGCGCATGGCGGTCGAGAGGCGCGCCAACCCGGCGCTCGAGAAGGCCGCCACCTCGGAGCATAATGCAATCATCTGGCTCGACGAGTGCCAGCGGCGGACCTCAGACGCCGCCAAAGCGCTCGCCAGGGCCAAGAATGACGTTAGCGACGCGCTGGCCATCATCAGCCGCGAGCGGGGCACAGCCTGTCCCGCCACCGTGCCCGTGCCAGCGTTCAACCTCACCAAGCTATTGGCCGAGGACCTGGGCCAGCTGGACTACGAAGAGGGTGAGGCTTTCTCCACCAAGGGCCTCGAGCCCGACGACAACGAGAAGAAGCGGTGGGAGCCCCACAAGGCCGCATTCGCCAAGGAGCTCAAGGCAGCCGTCAGGCAGGCGTCCGGGGCCACCGCCGAGGAGCTGCAGCGCAGACGCCGCGAGCTGGGCGAGCTGCGGGCGCGCCCCCAGGCCAAGCGTCGCCGCGCATCGGACGAGGCCGACGCGCAGCCCCCAGGCCCGACGGTGCTGCCGCTTCCCACTCTGGCGAGCCCGCCGCTCCCTAGCCTGCGCTGCCAGCATCGTCAGGAGCGGGGGCCGCAGGCTCTGCGAGTGAGCTGATCATGATGTTGACGGCGATGCTTTAGAGCTGGCACGCGAGGCGCGGCTGCGTGCGGCCGCCGCCGCAGCCTCACGCCGACGCAACCCGCGTCCGGATCCTCGCCGCGCGCGCCGCCATGCTAGAGGCGGTGCGAGGGGGCGCTGCGGGGCCAGACTCCATCAGTAGCCAGGGTTGCAGTTGTTTTGACTCAGTGCGAGTGCCTGTTCCACGGCCTTCGACTACATAGGCAAGGCTTAGGACCTGTCTGTCGCCATATCACATTTTCTTTTTGCAGGAGCTGCGCGTTCCCGCCGACTGGAGGCAGGAGGCGGAAGCAGCACGTTACAAGAGGCCCGATAGCCGCCTTCGTCTCCTCCACGGAGGGACCTGGTGGAGGGCGCAGTGCTGGAGCGGGGCTACTGGCCCCGAGGAACATCGGCATTGCCATCCTGGACGACAAGAACGGTTACGACTGCTCACCGCCAGGCCTGGCAGGACGGATCGCTGCTGGATGGGCTTCAGCAGGCAAGAGAGGAGGATGGATGCTCATGTTGGTGTATTTCTGGACCTGTGAAGGATGGGCCATACGCAATGTGTCGCTGCTGGATGCTATCGGCAGCCTCATCTTCAACTGCGGTATTCCATGGGCCCTGCAGGCGGATTTCAATTCCAGCATCGCTTCTCTCGAACGTACAGGGTGGCTGGAGGATGTAGCGGGCGTGCTCCTTGTACCTGACCTGATCGCGGGCGTGGGCGCGAGCGAAGGCAGGGCGATTGATCTCTTCGTCGTCGATCGCGCCGGCGCCTCTTCCATCTCGCGCGCCTCAGTGCTGGATTGCTCGACGCACCCCCATTCCCCTGTCCGGGTCGCTCTCGGGTCGCACATTCGCGTCAAGCACGGTTGGGGGCGAGCCAGGCCTAAGCCGTTTCCCATGCACTTGCCTAGCGGACGTCGCAAACAGCCACCTGACTGGCCAGAGTTCGGAGTCGACCAGCAGTGGAATGACGAACATACGTTTGACAATTAGAAGTTGTTCCCAACCCTCCTTGGTTGGGCATTCGTTTTGAATAGAGCAGTGTGGTCTCCACTCCTTCCTTCCTTCCCCCCCGCCTCCCTCTTGCCCCCTCCTGTCTTGCTTGCGGGGGGGGGGGGGGTCTGCGAAACGGCCCCTACCTTCGAAGCCTGCTGGGGGGGCCCAGCGCAGTGACGCCACACGCATATTCAAATTAGGCCTCGACGCCCCTGGGGTGTTGCGATCTGCGAAACCTTCGCCACTTTCGAGGCCTGCTGGGGGGCCCAGCACAGCGACGCCACGCGCATATTCAAATTAGACCTCGCCATCCCTAGGTAGGCTTGGTGGGCTCGGTCACATAGGCGCCCAAATACCCCCTGCCAGTTGAGGAAATTAGGCCATCGAGATCCAGAAGGCCATTCGAAATTATGCGATTTTGCGTTTGAGTTCCAGACGGCCATTTGAGATCATTGCGTTTTCCCGCATGAGTTCCAGAGGCTCTTTCTTGATCATCTCCTTTATTTTCGCCCCTCTACTCCTCTTCTTTTCGGCCGAGGGCGGCGCCGCGGAGGCCGCGCCCCACCCTCCTCCCTCCTCTTCCCTCCTCGCCTCCTCTCTCCACTTTCTCCTCTTTCCTTCAGTTCCCCTCTTTCTCCTTTTTCCTTCCCTCCATCCCCCCTCTCTTCCTCTTTCCCTCCTTTCCCTTCCTCTCCCTCTTTCCCCTCTTCCCCTCCCGGCCCGCCCCCCTCCCCGCGCCGCGCCGCGGGGCGCCCTCCTGTTGGCGGGCGCGCCGGGCGGTCGGCGGCGGCGGCGAGACGGGCGGGGCTGGGGGGGGGAGGGCGGGGGGGGAGGGGGGAGGGCGCGCGTTCTTTTCTCGACGGCGTCGATGGCGACGGCGGAGGCCGACGTGGGCAGGGAGAGCGACGACGACGACGACGACGACGACGACGACGACGACGACGACGACGACGACGACGACGACGACGACGACGACGACGACTACTACTACTACTACTACTACTACTACTACTACTACTACTAATACTAGTACGACTACTACTACTACTACTACTACTACTACTACTACTACTACTACTACGACTACGACTACGACTACGACTACGACTACGACTACGACTACGACTACGACTACGACTACGACTACGACTACGACTACGACTACTAGTACTACTACTACTACTACTACTACTACTACTACTACTACTACTACTACTACTACTACTACTACTACTACTATTACTACTACTACTACTACTACTACTACTACTACTACTACTACTACTACTACGACTACTACTACTACTGCTACTACTACTACTACGACTAATAATACTACGACTACTACTACTACTACTACTAGTACACTTACTAGCACTATAGTTACCACACTACCACCTACTAGCACTACCTACTACTAATACTTATTACTACGACTACTATGATTAGTAGTAGTAGTTCTACTACTACTACTACTACTACTTACTACTACTACTACCTACCAACTACTACTACTACTACTATACTACTATTATTACTACTACTTACGACTACGACTACGACTACGGCACGATACGACGACTACGACGACTACTACGACTACTGACGACTACGACGGACGACGACGACGACGACGACGACGACGACGACGGACGTACTACGACTGACTACTAATACTACTTACTACTACTACTACTACGTACGACTTACTACGACTACTAACTACTACTATACTACTACTACTAATACTACTATGCTACTACTACTACTACGACTACTAGAATACTACTACTACTACTACTACTACTACTACTCGGGGAGAGGAGGGAGGACGCACGTTCACGCTGGCACAGTCCGCATGGCCCGTACCAGCGTGAAAAATCAAATAGGGTGAAACTTTTACCAGAATTCATTGGCGAGGAGGTAAGGGAAGGGGGAGGGGGGATCAGGGGGCTGCCGAGGAGCTGGCAGGCTGGGAGGGGAGGAGGGAGGAGGAAGGGATGAGCCAGGGTGGAGGAGGAGGAGGAGGAGGAGGAGGAGGAGGAGGAGGAGGGGGACGAGAAGGATAATAACTGACGGGCTGGGCAGGCAGCGCCGCCGGGCCACTTTGCGCCCCGCCACCTGGCTCCTGGAGGCGCTCCGCGAGATCGGGGTGCCCCCGGAGCGGGCGCCGGGGCAGCTCAGGGGCAGTCAAACCCCCCCCCCCCCAACACAAAAAACACAAAAACACAAAAATAAAAAAAAAAACCAACCTCTCCCCAAAAAAAAAA